AGTTAGGCTGCCAGTTAAATAGAAGTTGACAGATAAGCAAGGAAATTAGTACCAGGTGCCAGATTAACACCAATAACTGGGTGTTATCTGAAATTATGATAAGTGTGTTTTCTGCAAAATAATGTTGTTGTTTTTTTTTTATAAATCTAAATTATTTTATTTTTAAATCTTAGTTATTAAAGGGAAAAGTTGTTCTGATAGCATGGTATATTTGGGTTAAAAAACTCTTTCAACTGTTGAGCACTGACGTGAAGTACTCTTGTCCTAAGAAACGTAAATAAAAAATCTTACACATACCTTAGGAATGGTATTACAGAAATTTTTGGCGGTTTTGAAACCTTGACTTTTCCAAACAGCTGTATACTTTGAAAACGGTTATCGCCCCATGCCTAATTTAAACTGGACTGACTGAATATCTACTATTAAATATATTCTATTAAAAAATATACAGACAAATAAAAAATACAGTAAAACACAAATCTGTTGAAACGCGTAGGTCTGATGGCTGCTGAGTTTGCAGCTGGATATTATTCGCGAATCGCTGACAGGAACAGTGAACAGCTCTGCCAGAAAGCGTCTAAAGCTCATATGCAATTTTATTTTACATTCTATGGCAGAAACACCACAGAGCCTTGCTAAATTCTCCTGTATGGGTGCGTGTCTGTAATAAAACACTAATAAGGGCATTAATTTGGACAACTATGCGGATAAATTAAATAATTCACACAAAAATGCATGAAGATGAACTTTCACTTTAACTTCACACTTTTTATCCTGAACATAACGACAAGGCAGTACTTTTGAACAATTCACAAGGGTTAAATGTGATATTTTCTCAGAATATGCGTCATAATACCAAGTCTAGATTTTAAAATTCTGATATATTTACAAATATGACTCTCACAATACTAAGCTCAGATTTTGTAATTCTTAGTTTATATTCCTGAGTTCTGAGTTTGCGTTTATACTTTATAATTCTGAATATGTCATGATTGTAAACCATTCTGATTTCAGGTTCGATTATTCTGATTTTGCATTTTACAGTTCTTAGTTTATCTCAGATTTCTGACTTTTTGTGAGTGTTTTTCTTGTACTTTCAGTTTTCTTGCAGTTCAGACCAAAAAATTGTTATTTTGTTTTATTGGAACTCACAATTCTAAAATAAATAAATAAATAAATAGTTCTAGAAAGTTAGAAGTAGTGTTAAAACTAGAAAAAGATTAAATCTTGAAGGAAAGGGAGGTTAGAAATGTGAGATTAAAAGTCAAAATTGTGTTGTTTTTTTTCTGTAGCAAAAACAAGTAAAAAAAAACAAAAAAAAAATATTTCCTACTCTTGCTCGTTTACAGGAACGTTTAAAATCCAGAAGACCAGACTGCAAAGGGAAGGATACGATCCACGGCTCACAACTGACCAGATCTACTTCCTAAACTCCAGAGCAGGGCGTTACGAGCTTGTCAACGAGGAGCTGTACAATGCATTTGAACAAGGCAGGATTTCCCTTTAGACAGAGAAGAGAAGTTCGTTTGAAACTACCTGATCTTCTCCTAATCTGTGAACACATTCACACAGTGTTACCACAATGCAACAGAAACCACACTGATTTGTTAAGCTAGTATTTAGACATTACCATTGTTTAAAAGAATAATATCGCATCTGATGAGATGTCTTTGATTCGGTAGCCTACTAGAAATCATGAGCTGTCTTAAAAAGGGCAAACCATTTACCCAATATGCAATAGGCAGTTCGACTGAATTATTATTTTAATGCAATATTTTGATTTGATGGCAGCAGAACACAATGTGCACTCCCAACATAAGTAAAACAAATACCCAAACACTAAAGCCATTAGAATGAAAGATTAAACTCCATTAGGATATAACACTAAAGACACTAAAGAAACCACTACAAATCAGCTAGTTGAAAGGTTTTGAGCCTGAAAAGATGATGATGAGTGTATGTTAACAGACGTGAGTTTTTACTAAGTGAACGTTATTAAAATGCCTAACTCCAAAGTGATTTTTAGAAAGCTGAAAGATACAAAGTGTCTTTGTGAACAGCGAAGTGCCTTAGTTTTTTACTACATGAGCTTTATCCAAGTGTGATATGGCAAGATGAATGTGGCCTGACACTTCATCCTGAACAAAGAAGTTTTTGGAAAACAAAACCCAGTAAATTGTATTAATATAGATCTGAATGATTAAATGAATAAACATTTTTATTCCAAATTCTTCTCTTCTGGATTTAATTTCTTGGCCTTTATACTGAATTTTTGTTGATTTTTTTTTTTTTTACTAAAGGTGCATCCCAAATCACATACTCATGCACTATTCTACACCATTTTGTAGTGTAAAAAATGCAAGTAGTGCGTTCACACTGAAAAATAAAAATAATAAGTGCACTTTGTGGTCATTACTGCTATGAGATTACAGATCATTTGATATGTACTGATTATTCATGTTTTTTAAACTTGGATTTATATACATTGCTGTGCTTTGGAATTTAAAAAAAGGGTTAAATATGCAAACTGACAGCCAATCGCAATGGGGGCATTTACTTTCAAGTCTTCAATCTGCTACACCCATTCAAACTGTGTGTTCAGGTTAGAAGGACCCAAAACAGGACATTCATTCATTCTTTTTTTTTTTAGCTTAATTCCCACATAGCAAAATTTCTCTGGCCCAGCTCTGGCCCACACAATCAGGTTTTGCTTGGCCCACATGCCGCAGTGAATTACGGTACATGACTGGACCAAATCTGGCTTCCAGACAAGGGCCAAACACAGACCAAATCTGGGCCAAGTCTCAGCCAAGTTAATAACTCATAACTGGGCCTGAACTGGGCCAGATAGGTTGGTGTGTCACGATTGCAATGAAATTGATAAACCCATGGAGTGATGCGCTTTAGGCACACTATGGGCACGCTTTTTCTCAAAGTGAACTGATTGGTAGAATTTCTTTTCTTTACTCAAAAATGATTTTAGTGTATCTTAAATGTGGGTCAAGACTGGCCAAACTCACATGGCCCACTTATCAAATTTTTAAATCTGGGCCAAATACTACGTTTTTCATCTGACCCAAATCTTGTGTGCCGCCTTAAAAACGGTGCCACCTCTGCCAAACCCGGGCCATGTTTGGCCCACATGCTGTATGCCAGTGCCGGATAAATGCCTGCTGTGCCAGCTTTTTGTCAAATCTGGGCCAGAATTCTTTGCTACTAGGGTTCTTTTATTAATCAGGGGTCGACACAGCGGAATGAACCACCAACTTATCCAGCAAATGTTTTACACAGTGGATGCCCTTCCATCTGCAACCCAGTACTAGGAAACACCCATACGTTACAACATTAAAAAAATATATTTTTTGAAAAAGCCAGATCATGACCTTTTTAAATAATGCCTTGTTTCCATTGAGCGGTACAGTACAGTGGGGTTATGTATAGGTCACTTTGATCAAGCTTGCTTTTCCACTCCCAACAGTAACCCTTACTCCGCAGGTGTGGTGTACTGAGTAAGGTTGCGATTGACGTCATTCTCGCTCGACAAACTCAAGAAAGTCAAGTTTATTATTTCAAATGTTTAGGAAGCAATTGGTGCCCCTCAAATTTTCCACAGATTTAGGTGTGATGTGAACAGCCCCATAAACAACAGAGTTATTGTGTTATTATAGTGTCATGTTCATTTTTTCGGCTATGTATTTAAAAATGGTGCTTGTTGCTCTTGTCTTTTTGCACGCACAAGTGGCGATTCACTGAAAACAATCAGCAGTCTAGCTCCACTCTTCACTACCATACTGTTGTGCTAGGTACTCTTATGAAAGGGTCTCAAAAAAGTACAGTTCACTTTATTGGTACTTCTGACAGTTGTAGGACAATAAAAAGTACTGTAAACTACAGTAATGCTAATTGGAAACAAACCATACGATATGGGGCAAACAGGGCAGATAGAGAACTCCTAGATCAAATATAGATGTGAAAAAGTTATGCTGAAAATAATATTGAAGTAAAAGAGACCGACACAGCAGCTCATTTCCCAAATTATCAATACAATCTAAAGTACCAACAGTACGCAAGAAAACATCTTATTTTGGCATTTAAGAAAATGAACTCAAATGAAGAAAATTCTTACCTTTACTATGTTTACTGTTCCTCTTCCTACACTATCATAACCTTTTAGCATAATAAAGGCTAAAAAAAATGTTAATTTGTGTAAATACCACTAAACTGATTATTATAAAATTGAATAACTGACATGAAATGCATTAATAGGTCTGAAAGAGTCCTACAAACTCATTTTAAAAGTATTTCCAAATGTCAGACAGTAGTAATCATGCACAAAGATGCATTAAACTTGTTTTATTGAATAAAAAAAGAGTGCCTTAGTTCACCCAAAGATTTATTTATTAATTTATTATTCCCTTCACTTGTTCAAAACCTATTTGATTTTCTTTCTTCTGTTGTACACAATAGAAGACATTTTGAAAATTCCTGGTGGAAGTTTCTTCCTGCTATAGAAGTTAATGAGTCAACCAACCATCATTCTTCAAAATATCTTTTTGTGTTCAACCAAAGAAAGAAATGTATAAAGAGAGTGCACATGGACAAGAGTGAAACACAAAAAAAGATATTTTGAAGAATGATGAAAAACTATTAAAAAATTAAAAAAAAAAAAAAAAACTATTGACTTCAATAGTAGGAAAAACAAATTCTATAGTTGCAGGTTTAAATTATTATTATTTTTTTTTTCAAAATATCTTTTGTGTTTATCAGAAGTAAGAAACTTCAGAATTTAAATAAATTTACTCTCGGATTGACTTCCAAAATTCCAATGACTGTCACAACAATAACATTAATCCAAGACAATTGCCTCTGTGTAGTGTCTGCTGCATCGGTTATCTGATTGGAGTAGGTCTGATTCGATTTGACTGAGCAAAGACATTAAATAATTTGTATATTTATGATCCATTAAATAAGGTAAGGAAATTGAGTTAGATACAAGCCACTTTAAGGGTGCTTTCACACCTGTAGATCTATTGTTTTATTTTGAGCTTTTTACACCTGTAGATCTCGTGTTTCTTTCCAAGCTTTCTTACCTGTTGATCTATTGTTTTATTCCAAAACAGGGATTCAAATAGTTACAATGTTGCTTCTTGTTCTTGATGCGATTTTGCTTTTTCATGGTTCATATTTTTTCAAGTTTCTAATAGACCAAAATAAAATACCAAGTCAGTAGGAGTAAACTCTCCTCACATTGATCAGAGAAGGGTTTAAGGGGCTGTGGCTAAACATATTTCACCCAAGCCATCAAACTGTCATCATCAGAGATGGACTGCCATTTTAGAGTGGAACAGATGTTCAGATTTTAATTAAAGATTATCAAAACAAACAGCATTTTTCAGGGATTTACTTGCGTAGATTAATTGTCCATTAGACTAACAATTAAAAGACAATAACTGTCCACAAGACTAGCAATGTGTGCAAACAAAATTAACATTGGAAATTCAGATTTTAGTGGACCCTAAGGAAATTATTTGTAAGGGGAAAAAATTAGTGACTGCATGAGGACTTGTATTATTATATGGACTTGATTGTATTATTGTTATCACTGATACAGTATGCTGCAACACACCTTTATTCTGTTATGACAAAGAATTTCACGTGATTTAGACCCTTCCTGACCGTTTTGGTGAAGTGTTAAAAACCCAAACCATGTGAAGCTGAAGATTTCTATACTATTAGCTCGTAAGACGTTCTGCGTATCATTCTGATTTAATGGAGACCCAAGCCGGCAGCACTTTCAGTGGGTACTCCTTACACGCGCTGCAAAAGTATGGGAATGCTCTGGGCGTGATGATGTCTGTATAGGTGAACAGAGGCGTCCTCTCCCGTAGGTCATAGAAAGTCACCCTGGACCTGTTCATGTCCAAGACGACTCTCACCACCTGCGGCTCCTTGGTCATAGTGAGAGGGGACCATGGGGCGGTGCAGGCTTTATACTCTCCGTTTCGTAGCCTGATGGTCCAGAAGCCCTCGGCGGGCGTCAACACATGCTTTCCCTTCCGGCTGATGGATGCGCTGGCCACTCCAATAACCCAGTAAGTGTTGTTTTTGACCTCCACATCCCAACTGTGTAGCCCAGAGCTGAAGCCCTCATAGCCCAGAACCTCTGCTCCGACATTGAAACGCTCAGGGTTTTCTGGGAGCTTAAACGTCTGAGAACAGCACTGTAATGTAGTCAGATCCTCTGACAGCAGGAAGCAGCTGGCCGCAGTGTTCGGATCAAGGGTCACCGGAGCTGCAGCAAAGTCGATTTAAGAGTTGAAATGATGTTGATTAAGTATCAATTCTACACCACAACGTACGTAAAAATAGAGAAGAACAATCTTGTGAGAACTATGTTTAAGGAAGCCAGTAGTTGGAGACCTACATATAAAAATGCCAACAAACACTAGTACGAGCCATTCCTAAGGGCTTTATACACAGTATAGATGTGTGTTACCTGACCATTTTTGCAAATTCATGTTTTTTATAGCTTATATGAAGACATAAATTAAATAATTTTTCAGAAATTGCTCTTAGGGCCCTTGGAATGGCATTAGAGAAGTTAGTTTCGTAGATGTACAGTGGGGGAAATAAGTATTGAACATCCCATTTTTTTCTGGGAATATTATTTCCAAAGGACCTGTTGGTGTGGAATTGTCAGCTTTTGGTAAAAACCCTAACAATACAATGGGAAATGGGAGAAAATATTTATGTGTCATAACAATGACATGACACAAGGAGAAAGTACTGAACTACTAAAACGTATGTAATACTTTATATAAACATTTTTTTGTTTTTGTCGATGGCAGCTTAGAGATGACTTTCAAATGAAGAATAAAGTCACATGCTTTGCTCAGGTGTGAGTTTTTCAGACTTCAACAGAGTGTAAAAATCTTGATGGTTCTGTGAGTCTCGTCTACCAAATCTGATTTTTATTTTCTATGTTCTATTGGGTTCAAGTCAGGGGATTGGCTGGGCCATTCTACAGCTTGATTTCCTTTCTCTGAAAGCATCAAAGAGTTTCCTTGGCTGTGTTTTGGATCATTGTCTTGCTGAAATGTCCAGCAAGCTAATATTAATTTACAATGATGAAGGGCAGAGGGTTGCTGAATAACTTAGACATTTAAGCTGCTGTCTGGGCTTTCACTGCCTTTCTACAGCTCCCTTTCCTCATGTGTTCAACAATTTTCCCTTTATTATTTCATTTTATTACACATAACTTTGTTTGTAAACTAATTAGATTTGTTTTCTTTGCATATATGGATTTCTTCGGTTGTTAAGAAATTTTATCCGGGGAAAATTTCAAGTCAACGCCACCTTTAGAAATATGTTTTCTGAGAAAAATGGTAATGTGTTCAATATTTATTTTCCCTGCTGTACTTTGTGATTATATTCCGATGTCATTTAGACAATTTGTCGTGTTCAAATAGGACTTTGCATACCAGTTTATGAGTAGTTACATTTTTTAAAAGTTAGCATTTTTCTTCTTTTAAACTGTGATGGCATATAGTCTATAAGAAGAGGCTAAAAAATGAACACCTAGACATCAATATTATTTCTTGACAAGTGTGAAACAAGCAATATACATATACAGTTCTTAATATGCAAATAAGATAATATAATTAAATAAATAGTTTACCCAAAAATGTAAAAATAAATTGAAAAAAAGCCATGTCATGGACAAAAAATACTATGGACGTGAATGGCTGTTTATATATATCTTCCGGGAAAAAAAGACCACTTGAGTGTGAGGAATATATATAATAAAGAAATTTTCATTTTGAGGTGCACCATTACATAAAATGCAAAAATTGATAAGAAATTAACTGGCATGTTTAAAAAAAAAAAAAAAAAAAAGTATTAAGTAGTTGAATACTCACTATACTGAATGATTTCCAACATTCTCTCCCACACTTTAAACTTCAGTGAGCCCAAGTGCTTGGCTATATCGAGCAGTGAACCTGCTATCATCTCTGGATCCTGGGGAATTCGCCAGGTTCTGTCAACATCCAGAAAGATACAGGGTTATTCTGAGCAAACATTGAAAAGTTATCGAAGGAATTGGTTACTCAGAAAAGAGTTGTACCTCTTTATGGTGTCTTTATAATTCTAGATAAAACAGAGAGTAAATTAGTAAATACGCAACATGAACTGTGTATTTTGAAGTTGTAATTATATCATACTCCTTTAAATGTTCACCTTGAGGAATGGTATATCCTGAGACCTCATCTCCTGTTCAATAATTCTTATAGTGTTGGTTAGTGAAGTGATGTCATTCTCCAAATCTTCAATCTTTTCGTTCATCATCTGCCTCTTCTGTTCCCTCTCTTGCTTGAGCATGGAGAGCCGGGATGCTTCCTCATCTCGCAGGAACTGGTGCAGTGCCTCAAACTCCTCTCGGATCTGCCTTTCTGTGTTCTCTGCCTGATTCTGCAATGAGAAAGCTTCCATTTTACTCTTGATGTGGAGAATCCATTGCCTCCTTGTGTTGTTCACCTGTTTAACAATGCAAACTCAAAATGGAAATACCTTAATATGATTCACTGCATGCTCACAGGTGAGTTTTACTTTTCGGAAGAGCTTCAACTTTTCCTGAAGTGGTTTTAAAGCATTTTTGAGTTCCTCCTAGAAAGGAAATAGAAGGATAACATTGCAAATGATTAGATATGACCATATCAAAACTTTTTCAAACCTGAATCTTCTTTGGGACAAAAATATTAGTATAATTGGAAGGAAACAACATCCACAACAATAGAACACCAATGATTTCCTGAATTAACTTCTGATCTATGCAAATGTCATTTTTATGTGTCTAGGCTGTTGTACTCCCGAAATAAAGCCCAACAAGCTTTTCAGTAGCTGTTGTATAAGCCTGAAGGGCTATATTCTGCAAAAACAACTGCCTTAGATGCACATCACTAGTTTATTACATGTAGCATATATAAATTTACACACTAAATGATCAAGTTTATTTGTAGACCCTAGAGTTCATCCTGTTTGTTTTAGCAATTGTTATCTGGCAATAAAATATATTGGATTGTTGTGATTGACAAATCAGAATACAGTTTTCCAGAGAGCCATGTTATAATATCATTTCAAGAGTTCAAAGTTAGCTGTTTGGTATCCTGTCCCGAGAGAGAGCCCTTAGCTCGTAATTTCCTCTATCTCTGGGCTCCCTCCCATTTGCAGGGCGAGAGGGCAGTTTGAGCTCAAGTAGATCTCGATAAACTCCCCCAACTTATTTCTGGCTAATGACAGATAAGGGGATGGCTAAAGAGAAATGTATGGCTTGCTAAGAGTTCGACTATGATGCCAATTAAAAATGTTCAATTTACTTAGGTCGCGTGTTTTTGGACTGTGGGAATAAACTGCTGATTTCTGGGGGATATTCGCATGAGCAAGGGTAGCAAACTCCACACAAAAATGTCGACTGGTTCAGTAGGGACTTTAACTTGTGATGTTCGAGCTGTAAGGCATTAGTCCTAATCACTGGACCACCGTTTTACCCAATCTAGAAAGGAGGGGGAGTAGGGGTGGGAGGGGAGGGGAGATTCTTCAAGTAGACAATACCGTGGTAAGAAACTGGTTATTTATAGTGAGTTGGAAATTGTCTAAATGGTGAATCATGTGTTAGCTAATGTGGGAACAGCCGTGGACAATGATTTAATAAATAAACTTCATTTAATGAAGTTCTATATTATACTCTGTGTTATATTACCCTGGCACACATGAAAAGTCTTAAGTCTCCCAATTATGTGTTAAAGTGACTCTTAAAGGGTCATGACACCCCCCACTTTTGATTCACGTCTACCTCAGACTTTCTTCAAAAGATGCATCATAATGGGCGTGGAGCTCCGCGAGTAAAGGGCAGGAGTGGGCATGGCCAGCAGGGGAAAAGGAGGGGAGCAAACAACTGTTGTCAGTTGTCAAAATGATACACAAACCGTGAGGAGACGCATGATTTTATAGTTTACAAAGTTAAAATACAAAGAAATAAACAGTAATTTAATGACCAGTTACATTTGTTTTTCGTAATTTCATATATAGATAGCCACAATTTATATCATTATAAAGATAATCGTGTTCATATAAAGACTATAAATGAGGACTTTTCTCCCAATCCCCGGGTCTGAATGCAGACTCAGTGCAGCAGGTCTTTTGCCCTGTCTATTTTAACCATTAGCCCTGTTGGTAATCTAGAGGATTTAGTCAAACACAGCAGCACGGCGATGAGTCTAAATGTGAACGAATGATAAAACGCAACGTCCGCCATTCTCCTATTTTCCTACTGCTCTCCCGACAAAAATGCTTGCTGCAAACCAACAGCTTTGCTGTATCAGCCCTGAAAGGATCACAGGGAAAAACATGCAATAAACCCCATGGATCATCGAAACAAACACATACGACCCTTCATAAACAGCTAAATACTGTGTGCCGCGGGTCCGTGTCTCACAGCTTGGCACTGGCATGTCTGTCTTGCCTTTGGAAAGTACGCGGAGTCATGAATAATTAAGAAGCAGCCTCTTCTCATAGGATAAGAAAACTTCACTATGAATAATAATGAGAAACTGACGCTTTGCACTTGCAGTTTTGCGCTACGTCGCAGATTTTGATCCGCCCCAAAAATAATTTTAAACCTGGAAGCTAAAATTAGCTGACAAATGCTCAAAATTATCCAGTTTTTCCCAAAACTAAAGCTAAAAGGTGCTTACATTGTCTTAACTGATGCTGAACACACACAAATCTGTTAAAATCTCAAAAAAAGTACTCAAGGGTTTCGTGAATCTTCAAATATATTATTACTTTTAAAAATATTAGTGCATTCACATAATTATTTTTACAGATCACAAAAATAGTTTCCAAAGTAGATGATTTTCAGCTTCAATGTTAAAAATATTTGATCAGAAACGCACAAACTGTTATAAATTGTACATTTTAATATGTGTACAATTTAACATGGAACCGGAAGCTCGTGAATATGCTGTATATGGACACCTCAAAGAGTTTCACTGAATTTCTCAGTCACAAAAAACTTAACATATCTCATCTGTGCACACAAGTTGTTATTACAAGTTACATTATTTCAAATGCAGACACATGGCAAGCATGCATAAATAGAGGAGACAGCATGTGCATTTTGGACGTGAAGCAAACGATTCTGTAAAAAATAACGGAGGACATACAGCATGTATCTACTGGCTTTTTGGCATACAGCAGTTTGTCACTAAAAGAAGATGACAAGCTTTGTTTGAGCATGGTTCATTGCTGCACTCAGTCATTTTATTGTTATAGTGTCATGTTTTAGCTGTGTATTGAAAAAATACGTGCTCAATCAATGTGACTCCAGTTGTTTTCAATAGTTTATGTTTCCATCCAAAGATGCAAACTAAATTTAAATGCAAAACAGGAATATCAAATAAAAGACGTGCAAATAATGCAGCGTTGCCACCACATGGGTCAAAGAGAACAAAATCGCCACTTCCTGATAAACTGGTGCCAAATTTCAACAGTAAAACAGAATTTGCTGCAGTAGGAGTAGCTGCGTCAATCTTTTCCTTATTTAATAAATTACTTGTGTCTCAGAAGACAAATGCTGACATGCAATAAATGCGGTGGCGTTTGAAAGCGTGAGACGTGGGGCACAGATGGTTTTAATACTGGCGCTAATTAATAATATAATAACACTAATAATGAAATGGTTAAGGCATTTTAGAATGACCAAAACATCATTTTAGATGTTTTACAATGCGGTCAGCCAGGTGGTTTGTCCATTCACACACATTTTTATCATAGCATGATCTTTTATAAAAAAAAATCACGTGACTTTTTTATGCACATACTGGAATTTGTTCGGTAAAAGTGTTTCCATTGTAGTTTATGTGCATCTTTTCTTGTGAAATATAAAGTTTATCCTACTCTGTTATGCGCATATGTTTTTTATGCGCATTTTCCAAATGTATGCGCATCATGGCATTTCCATCAATCCTTTTTATAACCAAAGTGCACATAAAAACAGGTGGATGGAAATATAGCTAGTGACTTAATCATATTGCCCATAGTAAACAAGCACTCTCATCTGATGACAGAAAAATCTTCATGAGACAACAAGGTTTTCAGATTTCTTGGTGCACAAAAGTGTTCTTGGAGCTTTATTTGATTAATTTAACTTTAATTAATCAAAGTCATGTGTACAGTACTGTTTTGACAATGTCTTTGGGTTTTTTTTCTAGACATTGTATATCTAAAAAAAATTGCTGTCTCTGGAGGATGAGGGAGCACTCGGGTTTCATCTGAAATACCTAAATTTGTGTTCCAAAGATGAACGAAGGTCTCAGGGGTTTCGAACGTCCTGATGGTGAGTAATGAATGACAATTCTTGGATAAACTAACCCTTTAAGCATTTGTTTGCTTCATGCAATTCATGCATTATAAATAGAAACATTGAAATCTAAATTTGTGAAACCTCAAGTTAAACAAGAAACCATAGTTTGTTTCCTTTATGTTGTGGTGCAGCGGTTCTGATATAACCCTTTGTATTGACCTTGAATGATTTTTACATTACTTTAAGAAGATTTATTTAGATGCTAGCTAGTGTATACTTTCATCAACTCTAAACTAAGAACATGGGCGTCTAGTTTCAGCCTTAAGAGGAGGCCTCATTCTAGCTAGAGCATACCGCTATTAATAGTCTGATAATGAACCCAGCCAAGAATCCATAAATAAGTTCTGCGGTCCTTAAGAGAAGGGATGGGTGTGCAAATGGTTATTCTCATGAAGTGTGTTTGGTTCTCCTCTTGAATTGACAGTGTAAATGTTGAAAGTACACACTGAAATCAACGTAATTTTTAAACAAATTCAAGCTCACATCTAGGTGACCAAAAAAACATACCTTACAGTCATGGGAAGCTTCATTTAATGGATATAATCTGTGTCCCTGGTGGTTCATTGATGACTTGCATTTGCTACAAGTTGGTTCCAGGTGCTCCAAGCAAAAGAGCGTCAAGGTCTCACCATGCTCCCTGCACGCAAGAGGGTCATTTTTGCATTTCTCCAGAAAGCCCTCGCAGGTCTTCTCAAGCACGGTGTTGACTACGAGCTCCCCCATAGATGATGGCTGACAGCAAAGAGGGCATTCGCAAGACCCTCCACCGTTCCACAGGCTTTCCAGGCAAGGTTTACAGAAGCGATGTCTGCAAAACAGCACCACAGGCTTTTGCAGAATACTTCCGCAGATGGGGCACGACAGGTCTTCTGCAAGATGTGATTGCTTGGTGGCCATTGCTTCTTTGAGTCCTTCATTGCCTACTGTAATCACAAGGGGATACCATGACCCCCCCTCCCACTTAAGATGGCCCTTGGGAGATCTGTCTTCTGATTGGCTCCAGAATTTAATCAGAGAATACATCACTAAGTGAGATTTCAGCTGACACTTGATATCTTCTGATGGGTGCCTACACATCACGAAATGTAACAACAAGCTTCTGGATTGTAATTTGATCCTGGCATTGACGCAAAAGGAAGTCCATCAAGATTTTCTTCACATTCCATTTAAGAATGTGTGACCGCTTCAAAAGAAGAGCTAAAAGGCTGAAGAAATAAACAAAACTAGCCAAAATGATGCTGTGAAAAAGTTTGTGCCCCTAACGGATCTTCAACCAAACCCATTCAATGACCCTTCGTGAACATAAACAGGACAAGATTCATCTTTCATGCATTCATTAAAGAAAGTTTTGTACATTCACACTATTTGCAGTTAATCCTGCTAATGGAAGCGTAACTGATATCTGGTTGCACCCACATTAGCAGCGGTAGCTCCAAGCAAATGTTTCCTCTGGTTATTTATATGGAAGTATTTTGGCCCTCTTCTACTCAGTGACATTAGTAGGCGTTAAAGCATGACTTGTGCATTTCAGATCCTGCCACAGCTTTTCATCCGAGTATAATTCTGGATTGTGACAAGGCCATTTTAAAAAGTTTTCTATTCTTTAGGGTTTGTTGTTTTTGAGAACGACCCAGCTGGGTTTCAGGTTTAGTTTACAAACTGCCTGATTTAAATTCTCCTGGAGGATTCTCTGGGGCAGAGCAGAATTCATTGTTGTTTTACTGATGCCAAGATGTCAAGGTCCCAATGCAACAAATTCTTCCCAAATTATCATACTACTGCCATGATTTTTTGACTGGTGTTAAGAAACACAGTTTGCTCTAGAGATCTTTTTGACTCTCTGAAAACTTTAACTTTGATTTAAATACTTTATATTGTATGTAATTAGATAATTAAACTGATTGTGTTTCATTACAACAGGAGTTCCCTAACTTTTTAGCTCGAAACCTCTAAAATTATAATGCTAGTGACTCGCAACCCCCAAATTTCTCTTAGGTGGTTATAAATCGTCACCTTAGAATTATAAGGTTATATCTGGCATTTTTATCAAAATTAAGTTATTTACATATTCTTATTAAATGACAATTTATTTACATTATTGGATGTTTTGTTTATAAGTTGTTTATATTTTAAGAATTTTTATTTTTTTTAAATGTTACACGCAAACTGTTTGCTGTGGAATGCAAAAACTTGAAGCTCAATATTTCAAAATCATTCAGAATGCAGATAGAACCTTATAATTCCAAGGTGACAAAATCTGCAACCATTGCGCACACAACAATATGCCTATATAAACCTGAGCATTACATCACAAACAGCCTAGCAGTCATATCATTTTTATTTTAGTTATTTATTCATTTGATAATATAATATTAATCTGAGCTAAAAAAAAAATACTGGTGGACACAATGTTTTCAGCATTAGTCTATTGTTGGTTTAATCTTGAAGGCAGCCACTCAGAGATCATCCTCAGTGTTCAGTTGTGGCCTGTATTTATTTGTTAATTTATTTGATTGCCATAAAGGTGTCAGAAACTTTAACCTGGTGCTGTAAAATCAGTCTGTTGCAGCTGATGCTATTGCTGTGCTGTTAATCTGATGTAAACACACCAATCCTATGAAAAAATTATTGAAAGGCTAGATGGCTTGTTATTTGCATGTTGTTGTTTTTTCTTACTCTTAAAAACTCCTTTTTTTGTGGGTTATGGTTAAATATGGTAATTCTTGTGGGTTGTGGTTAAATATGGTAATTCTAATAGTTTAATGAAATGTATTTAACTTTTAGAATCCACCAAGCGACCCCCACTTTAGGAACCACTACATTAGAGCCCCTGTAGGCCCAGTATGTAAGATTTTTTCAATACAATATCCAAAAAAAACACTAGAATGAAGTAGTATGTTATGGTGGGCTGTATGGTGACTTCTGCTGTATGTCTTGGTTGCAGGAAGGTCACTGGTTCAAGTACCGAATAGACCAGTATCGTTTTTGTCTGTTCTCCACATGTCTGTTTGGGTCTTCCCTACATTCGAAAGACATGCAGTATAGGTAAATTGAATGAACTAAAATTGTCCGTAGTGTGTGTGTGTGTGTGTGTGTGTGTGTGTGTGTGTGTGTGTGTGTGTGTGTGTGTTTGTTTGTGTGTTTGTGTTTGTGTGTGTGTGTGTGTGTGTGTGTGTGTGTGTGTGTGTGTGTGTGTGTGTGTGTGTGTTTGTGTTTGTGTGTGCGTGCGTGCGTGCGTGCGTGTGTGTGTGTGTGTGTGTGTGTGTGTGTGTGTGTGTGTGAGAATGATGAGTAATTGGCAATTCATTCCACTGTAGCGTGGGTGACTATGCCATAATAAAAGCCCTGCTGTTTTTGTGGCACATCGCACTCGTCTCTCATCAGTAACTGCTTCTGCGATCTTTTTTCACGAATGCTGTAGACTAAAATGAAAACTCCATACTCATGGCATCAAAATACAACTTTGTTTGTTATGAATATACCCCATCTAGTGGTGAAAATGACATACTATCCCTTTAAAGCATAGGTCTCAAACTCAATTCCTGAGGGGCCACAGCTCTGCACAGTTTTGCTCCAGCCCTAATCAAACACAGAGGGCTCTATTTTGATGGTCCATGCACAAAGCGCAAAACGCAGGGCGCAAACGCTTTCAGGGCGTGTCAGGACGTGTTTTTGCTAATTTAAGGACGGGAAATCTGCCTTGCGCCAAGGCGCATGGTCTAAAAGGGTTGAGTTTATTTTCTTAATGAGTTATAGGTGTGTTTTGAGAATAAACCAATTAGAGTCTCATCTCCTATTACCTTTAGGACCCAGCTGCGTCGCACCAAGACCGCATTTACTATTTACAGGACGCAAAGTAAGTCAAAGTGAAAAAAATGAGCATTTCACAAGCAAACAGTTAACAGTTGACAGTTTTTTAACAGAAAACTGTTAAACAGAGCATCTACTGCGTGAGAATGAGAGATAATGGAACTACTTTCACTTTCGCTCTTGGATAGGGAAACCTTTACGCACAGACATCAATTAGTCTATAAATAAATAATTTTGTTTGTTAAGCGCAAAGATTTGTTTCAAAACTTATTTCTAAATTCATTTCTAATTTCTAGCAAATGAATAAATGAACAATAAAAATGAAGTGTGGTAAAAATAATGAGTTATTGCCAAATACACCTGCTGTGCCCCATATGGTCTAAAACCTGACAGGTGGGCAAATCTAAGCTTGTTTTTAATAAAACAAATATTAATATAAATATATATAATAATACTGCTAATAATAATAACATGATTCAAAAGCAAATTGTTATGAATGAACTGAAAAAGCCTCCCGAGATGAAGAAGACATAAAAGCAGTGTTTTTCATATTTATGTAGGCTAGAAAATAATATGTTTTGTAATATTTTAATCCTTTATATTTATATCCTATATCTATTCTTATTATATCCTATATATATCCTTAATATTTAAATTTTTTCATATGTAAAGATATTTGCTTATTGCTCTCCTGTGCGTATTAAGCAGTGTGTAAGCGAGGTGCAACTCTGCGCTGGAGTTTAGACCGGGTTAGTTTTGGTCTAATGAAAACTCTATTATAGTTTCTCAAAATAGCAACGTGCCACAGAACGCCTTCCTTTTTAGACCAGAACGCCTTTGGGCGCACAAATGAGCGCTAATGCATTTGCTATTTAAACAGCGTAGTACAACGCCTTAAAACGACTCTTGCGCCAAGCTGAAACTACCAAAAGACTATTGCGCCGCGTCTTGCGCCACACTGCGCCGGGTGTATGATAGGGCCCAGAGTCTTGAACACCTCGATTATTTGCATACATTAATTAGCAGTTCCCAGTAGCTCATGACTCATAGGTGTTTTGCAATTATGTAACTTTGTATTTGTATTGCATTATAAAAACTTTATTTCTACTCTGTCAATTTTAGTGATTAAAATTAAGTCATTGACTTTTATTGACATTTTAGTAGTTTGAAACAATGTATTCAACGTTTAAAGTGGATCAAAACCTTTCAACTAAGTTTTCCTATAAGCCAAATTTTGTGTTAACAACACCCTCATAACAAGCCTTGTCTTATGACAACCTTCCCCCATATATTGACCTCTGTGTATGAAAACAAATTCATAATACAACAGAAAAAAATGGTCAGATCATTGTCAGCTTTTTGTATCAAAATGTAGATGAGCAAGCTACCGAAATGCAGTGCATTTAGACTTAATCTCCACTTTAGTTAGTGAAGTGAAAGTAAGACATTTTTGTTATGTGATTTAATCATTTAAGGTAAACAATTAAAACAAGATGCATTAATGGTAAAACTAACTGGACTAAATGAAATAGTTTAATAATAATGACAATTCATTAATATGAAAAACACCACATTGTTGATGTGGTCAAACAACAAATCAGACGGGGCAAATTCTTTTTCACAGAACTGGATTTACCAAGAAGAAGAGTACAGAAGAATACACGTGGAAAAAACGAGGAAAAAGCTAAGTGAAAGGAGTTGGAAAGGACTATGCAGGCAAGTTATTTGCCAATAAAAAGATCAATTGGGCTCCACATAAGACTGATAAGATACAAGGTCAGATTTCGTTTACTTTCATGCAAATAATCAGAAGCTTTATATTTATCCAGCCTTTATCCTTGAGCTGTTCTATATTTAATACCTTCATTCTTTGCTCTCTGCACTTTCTGAGATGGGATCCAGAGGCCTCTTGTCTGCAAAAGGGACATTGCGTTTCCCAAAACTGCTGACAGCAATTTTCACAGAAGCTGCTTCCGCATGAAACACAGCAGAGGACCAAGGGAACACTGAACACTTCTCCACACACTGAACACGATGGGTCTTCCTCTATAAGCGAATCGCCCTCCATTTTCTATGTTGATATGAGTGGAACTGAGGGTCGTCTGTCCTGACTGAAATAGATAAAAATACCAGTCAACTCCACCGCTCTTCATGCTCCAGACGCCTGACCTTTAGAATTGACTTATGGATGTAAGCGATACAGACACGGGCTATACCGAAACACTTTGAGATCTGCATGATGTTATGACCGCAAATAATTCATCACAATTAACTGAATTACGAAGTGTTTTAGGATTTGTTGTAGGCCTCAGCATCTTAATGGTGGACCTACCATCAAACAGAGTTCAATCTGAATGTCTTGCGTATAGAAGATGAAGATGTTTGTTGGAATTCTGTGAAAGAAGTGAGCAACCCAGGCTCATTCTGAAAACGTAGTCGCGTGGACGTTACTGGAGACTGCGAAATACGTCCCGGGAGGGACATATCACCCTGCAGCCCAAGACCGGTTATTCAGTGAAGCTAAGCAGGGCTGAGCCTGGTCAGTACCTGGATGGGAGACCAGATGGGAAAACAAGGTTGCTGTTGGAAGTAGTGTTAGAGACACCAGCAGGGGGCACCCAATCTGTGATCTGTGTGAATCTTAATGCCCCAGTAAAAGTAAAGAGGACACTATACTGTCAGTTGGTGCCATCCTTCAGATGAGATGTTAAACCGAAGTCCTGACTCTCAGTGGGCATTAAAAATCCCATGGCACTTCTCGTAAAGAGCAGGGGTGTAACCCCATTGTTCTGGCCAAAGTCCCTAAATTGGCCCCTTATGATCATGGCCTCCCAATCATCCACATCCACCAAATTGGCTGTATCACTGTCTTTTCAAACCACCAATAGCTGGTGTGAGGTGAGCGCACTGGCATTGTTGTCCTGTGGCTGCCGTCGCATCATCCAAGTGGATGCTGCACACTGGTGGTGGTGTAAGGAGACCCCCTCATGATTATGAAGCGCTTTGGGTAAATGCGCTATATAAATACACATTACATATGTTTCACAATATTTAATACATATAGTACACATCTAATTATAAGCAAGCTAAAATAAGGTTTAGATTACATTAAATAATTAACACTGGGCATCGAAGCACTGGATGGAGAATACAGCAGACCGGCAGAGCGCAGCCAAAGACCAGGTGTAATTGTTGGTACGGAGAACGCAGTCAGAGAAAGAAACTAATCCAACAGCGAATT